ATAGATCCTATCACAGGGCTTTCTTGCCAAGACTTTTGTTCAGAGGAAGTGTGCCCTCGCCTTCCCCTGAGGCTGAGAGTATGTGACTTGCCCAAAGTAACCCAGTAGGTTTCATGGCTGAGCTGGGAGGCCAACCCTGGTCTCCAGAGTCATAGTCCAATGCTCAAACCATTACACCACACTGGCTCTCAATAAATTATATTGATATATCTGCAATACTTGGGTTTTTGGCACCTTTGTGCCTGTATGTACTTTGGTATTCTTCAGCAAAACCTGCCTTTTTTGTTGCTGACGTAGGGTCTTTTAATGTTTTAATGTTGTAAGCTGCTCTGAGTCCTAGTTCTGGGAAAAGAGCAGGATACAAATTGATAATAATAATAACAATAATAATAGGATGATGATGATGATGATGGCTATCAGCTGCCTCCCTCCAAGACCTCCATGCCATGATGCGCCCACAAACATGGTAGAAATTCATGGCAAGATCAATCCTGATATCAGTAATGCCTCTTCCCAAAATCCCCAGAGGAAGAGAAAAAGAGAAAAGAGGAGAAGGAAAAATCATTCCCCACCTTCCATCCATTAAACCAGACGCAGCACTTTATTCCAGATGTGTAACCCTTGTCGATCACAGACACACACTGGAATGGATGTCAATTAGGGTTCGGCAATTTTCTGCATTTGAACTCCAATTGCAAGCAAGTGGTTGTATGGGGCAGGCTTTCCATACCTCCCTCCATCATTAATTTGCAAAACAACAACAGCAACAACACAGCCCTAAAATACTGTGAAAGGGAGATCTATAGGTGGAAAGATGGAGAATGACCTGTGCATTTGACCCAGGCAGGGAAATGGCATCCCTAGTCCAGCTCCATCTGTCTTGCAAATGTCCTTGGATGCATCGCTTTCCAAACAACCTCCAAAAGAGAGAAAAAGCTATTTATTCCCTGGCCAAATTGGGGGGGGGGGGGGACTGTTTGGCACAACTGTTATTACAACAATCTTGTAAGAGAACTAGATATAGGACAAAGGCAATTCAGTTGGAGGCTTAATGCAAATTTACTTTGTGACAAATTGTTTTTAGATGAGCTGAAAACATACATCAAAATGTATTTTAAGGAAAATAACTCAGAACACGTCAAGATAAAAACAATCTGGGATGCACATAAGGCTGTAGTACGGGGCCTTTTTTAAAAAAAATCTAAAGAGCTAAAAATAACGCAAGAAAAAGAGATCAACAGGGTTTTTCAGAGGAGGTTTGTCATTGCCTTCCCCTGAGGCTGAGAAAGTGTGACTTCTAAGACTGTTTTTGTGTGCCTTCAAGTCATTTCCAAACTTATGGTGGCCCTAAGAGGAACCTATCATGGGCTTTTCTGGGCAAGATATCTTCAGAGGAGGATTGCTATTGCCTTACCCTGAGGCTGAGAGAGTGAGACTTGCCCAGGCTCATCCAGGACTTGAGCAGAGATTTGAATCCTGGGCTCCCAAGTCTTCATGTGACATGAAAAATATTCCATCACCCTGGCTCTCATATTCCAAATTATTTCCATCCTCTCCTAGGGATTTCTTGGTAATATTTCTTCAGAGGAGGTCTGCCATATTGTATGCCTTTATCTGCCTGGGATCTGACATTTTGTGAGACATTTAGCCTCGCAGGTGCCACAACAAACTACAGATCCCAGCATTCCACAGCATGGAGCCGTGGCCAATAAAGCGGTGTCAAAGCGCGTTAAATTCTGCAGTGCAGATGCAGCCGCCCTTTCTTCTTTCTCGTTGTCTTCTTTTTATGATTTTATGTGACCTGCGACGGCTGCATGGCTCTTTTCCATTTGGATGGACACATTTCTTCTGCCGCTTTGCACAGTTAATAGAATTCAATTTAAAATAATAATAATAATAATAAGAACAACAACAACATAAATAATAAATAAATAAATAAATGGGTGACTCAGCTTTTGCAAATTTTGCATGCATGAGGTCTAGAAACATGATTCCAATCCTGTATGCTCTCCTTGCCATTCCTGAGCATTTTGCTTCAGCGGCCACCGGTTCTATCTCAGGAGGTTGCCCAAACAACCGCCAGATAGATATAAATAGATATATTGCTGGAACATTTCAAGGGAATGAATCACAACTCTCTTCTGGGTCAGAGCAAAAGTGACATTGGCTTCGGCTTGCCTCCTTCCCTTCCCTCCGCTGTGACTCTGGCACATGCATCCATACATCTTGTGTTGTGTTGTGTTGTGTTGTGTTGTGTTTGTACTGGAAA